AAAATTAATTCACATCTGCTTTGCTCAACTAAACAGGCTCACCCCATTCACTGAAATGATGCTTTTTTATTTTTATGTGTTGTATTTTTTTCTGTAAAACACTTTGAGAAGCCACATTTTAATATATCAAACAACGTTTATTATTATTATATTTATTATATGTATGTGTGAGTGTGTGTGCACATGCGCTCATGATGACTTGTAGGTGGTACTTGGATGCTTTGGTTGGATTAGGGGTGGTACTTGGTTCAAAAAGTTTGAGAACCACTGATATACATAACCCAAATCAATGTAAATAATAGTCTGGTGCAGCAGGATTTTCAACAAATGTACAAAACTGTTTCAGCCAAGTTAAGCATTTCCTGCTGGACAATGTAAAAGGAGATTTTGGTCAGACTTTCCTTCTAATTAATTTACTATGAAAGGGACAGCCTGCACAGCTTGCCCACGGCGAAATTAAGACGTTTGCAGTCCAAAAAGTGCAAAAGAGATCCACTGGTTGGTTTTACCTGCGTCGCCCTGGTGATCTGAAAGATCTCCATGGTGCGCATCACAATGTCCTGGACTGTTTCCTGGCCGATCCGGCAGAGGAACACGGGAGAGATCTCACGCATCGCTGCCTGGGGGGGCAGAGCGGACTGTAGCTGGGCTGGGGTGCCCTGGGTGAGCTGCCCAGGCTGGGGGTGCTGTGGGGACAGCCCAGGCATGCGGGTCCCTGCCGAAGGCAAGGCTGTCATTGCCTGCAAACACAATGCAGGGGAGTTACAGGCAACAAGCACATATTCTACTGAATCTTAAACACACTGCCTTGTCCAATTAGTTAATGTCTTCTGACAGAGCCTAAGGACACCGTGGAACCTACAAAGCTCCTCACATACGTTACTAAAGACAGTGTGGCACAAAGTCAGGGCATTAGCAATGTCAAAAAACGAAATACTTATCTGTATCTGCTAAAGGAGATGTACTGTATAGGCCTGACAAGAAAAACTGCCATGAACTGGAAAAGACGTCTTAAACTCAGACCCTTGAATGACAGGACTTGAGCGTTCACAGAAGCATTTTGACAGGGGTACATTTCCTGTTTCAACGCCCTGACTTTTTTCCTTTCAGGTTTTATTCAAAATCAACGCCGTAAAAACACACCACTAACGGTATTTATGTGAATACAACTGCCATATTTTTAATAAATGTATTACTTTACACTACAGATATATGGGGAACAGTGCAGTTTGGGGAGGAGCAAAATTCTAAACCGAGTACTAGAATCACAACACGCTAATGTTTCATACGCCGTAGAGTGATGTGAACTGCTAGCGCAAGCGGTGTTTTACATAATATAAAAATACATTTGCCGGCAATTAAGAAGAAACGAGTGAAATGACTTGGCTGCAAAACATTATATTCTTAGTTTAAGTCATATGTTCCTGGTTCTTCATCTAAATGTGCAAAATTAGACATGCCAGAGCCCTTAACAGCAAAAACTTAAATTTACTAGCAGCAATCATTTAAATGCAATATAATCGACATGTTAAAAAAAAACGAGACTTTGCTCAAAAGCCAACCATTCGACCGTTTTAATACACTGCGGAGACGAGTTATCTGAACTAACGAGAACAAAGAGGAAGCATAACAGAAATCACACGTTTCCAAATCAACTTGGTACACAGGATTATACATACCGACGAACTAATATGACGTATTTCCCTCCTGTATTAGTCTCTGTTTAATGGCATCTAGACAAGGAATTTTACCAAAGCTCCTGGATACAAAACAACCGAT